ATTATTAGATGAATGTTAATTTCCAGTTTTGATAACAATATTTGACGACCAAATAAAATGTTAACATCTGGGGAAGAAGCTGAATGAAAGAAATTTTAAAAACTACACCTGCAACTTATCTCAGTCTAAAATTAATTAAAAAATAAACAGTTAAAATAAATTGATGTCATAAAAAATAAGGGCTGAGGAACTGTCAGACTGGAGGAGACTGGAGGATAGAAAACAAAACATTCCTTATTTCAACTGTGGTGATGGCTTCCTGCATGCAATATGTATTAAAACTTATAAAATTGTATTCTCTAAATGCATGCAGTTTATTTTATGTTGAATATCAAACCATTAAGCTGAAAAAAGGATAAATAGTATAAAAAAAGATGGGCAGAATGAGTAACAAAATCCTGTGTATTTAAAGAAATGTTAATAATTATTTTACATGAAAACATTTTCCTTTTACTTTTTCTTAAAAAAATGGCTACGTAAATCACTTTCCACAGGACTAACATTAGCCCTAATTCATTTTTCCAGTCAGTCTTTTTAACATTCTAGAGAATATTTGCTATAAAAATACTTCAGGCTAGTTGAAGCTGGTTTCACACCTAGCATCATCCAAGATTTCTGAAGCATCTGCAACCTAGCAGCAGCTTCTACAATCAAAGAAGATGCTTACTAAATTAAAAAATTTTAAATTTTTGTTAGAAATGAAAAAGTAAAAAAAAAAAAAAGAAAAAAGAAAAAAAACTAAACAGTCCCATCCTAGCATATTATAAATAAGGAGAAAACAAAATTAGCTCCATAATCCCAAATTTCAGATTTTTCAGAATGACTTAAACATTAAAATCTGTTCAACTGAAAGCTTGACATGGAAAATAATTGATTTGTTGTATAAATTAATAAATTATAAATTAATATAAATGAAATAAAGGTACTTTATCTTTAATAAAAAATAGTTAACTAATATTTCTCCAAATTTTCATTTCAGAGATTACATACTCATCCCACCTAGCTAGAGAAATGGAATAATACTTCTTTTAGGATACAGATTCAGAGTTTAAATTGTTTACATATTATCTTAACACTTCATGGCCACAACTTTAAGGTTTCAAATATGACGTTACTCAACATAACTACTTATTTTATTCTCCTGATTAGGCTTGGAATGGATTTTGGTCTTTTCAAAACTTAAATTTAGCATCAAATTGTAGCAAATTGAGGACACTTAAGAGAATATGAAAGAGCTCTTTAGGCAACGAAGGACAAACATTTAAAAAATATTTTCAAGGGGCTGGAGTTGTGGCTTAGCTGTAGAGTGCTTGCCTAGTACATGTGAGACCCTGGTTCGATCCTCAGCATCACATAAAAATAATCAATGTATTGTGTCCAACTACAACTAAAAAATATTAAAATTTTTTTTTCAAGTCCACTTCATAGATGTCAAAAATATTTGAAAATTTAGAATCTTAGGGAACTAACAGAGACTGATAGGACAGTGCAAATTGCCAGTGTATCTCAAGGTAGACATAGTTTCAGTTTTATTGTTACAGGAAAATTGTGTTTTGGTTTTAAATCAAATGGCTAAATTTCTTCCCAAACATATCCTCTGGGTTCCCAGGATACCAAGGGAGGAAGTAGAAAAGAAGAAATTTTATCTTTCCTTATGTCTCACTGATTACACTCCTATTAAAAATATAGGGTGAGGGCTCAGGCTGTAGCTCAGTAGCAGAGGGCTTGCCTAGCATGTGCGAGGCACTGTGCTCGCTTCTTAGCACCATATACAAATAAAATGAATGCATTCTGTCCATCTACAA